AACTATCCGGACTAAGTTCATGATAAATTAAAGTTCAATTAATCATATTACTTAAGAACTCCCACTTAGATAGACATCCCTCTGGTCATCTAAATGATCACGTGATCCAAATCAACTAAACCATGTCCGATCATCACGTGAGATGGAGTAGTTTTCAATGGTGAACATCACTATGTTGATCATATCTACTATATGATTCATGTTCGACCTTTCGGTCTCAGTGTTCCGAGGACATATATGCATATGCTAGGCTCGTCAAGTTTAACCTGAGTATTCTATGTGTGTAAAACTGGCTTGCACCCGTTGTATGTGAATGTAGAGCTTATCACACCCGATCATCACGTGGTGTCTCGGCATGACAAACTGTAGGAAATGGTGCATACTCCGGGAGAATACTTGTACCTTGAAATTTAGTAAGGGATCATCTTATAATGTTACCGCCGTACTAAGCAAAATAACATGCATAAAAGATAAACATCACATGCAATCAAAATATGTGACATGATATGGCCATCATCATCTTGTGCTTATGATCTCCATCACCGAAGCATCTTCATGATCTCCATTGTCACCGGCGCGACACCTTGATCTCCATCGTAGCATCGTTGTCATCTCGCCAACTATTGTTACTATGACTATCGCTACCGCTTAGTGATAAAGTAAAACAATTACATGGCGATTGCATTGCATACAATAAAGCGACAACCATATGGCTCCTGCCAGTTGCCGATAACTTTGTTACAAAAAATGATCATCTCATACAACAATTTATATCACATCATGCCTTGACCATATCACATCACAGCAAGCCCTGCAAAAACAAGTTAGACATCCTCTACTTTGTTGTTGCAAGTTTTACGTGGCTGCTACGGGCTTCTAGCAAGAACCGTTCTTACCTACGCATCAAAACCACAATGATTTTTTTGTCAAGTGTGTTGTTTTAAGCTTCAACAAGGACCGGCCATAGTCAAACTCGATTCAACTAAAGTTGGAGAAACAGACACCCACCAGCCACCTTTGTGCAAAAGCACGTCGGTAGAACCAGTCTCATGAACGCGGTCATGTAATGTTGGTTCGGGCCGCTTCATCCAACAATACCGCCGAATCAAAGTAAGACGTTGATGGTAAGCAGTATGACTATTATCGCCTGTAGGATCGGAAGTATGTCTAGAGGGGGGGTGATTAGACTACTTAACCAAATAAAAACTTAACATTTTCCCAATTTTAGTCTTTGGCAGATTTTAGCAAACTTAGCACAAGTCAAGCAATCTTAACACAATTCAAGCAAGCATGCAAAGAGTATATGAGCAACGGAAAGTAAAGCATGCAACATGCAAGAATGTAAAGGGAAGGGTTTGGAGAATTCAAACGCAATTTGGAGACACGGTGATTTTTGAGCCGTGGTTCCGATAGGTGGTGCTATCGCACATCCACGTTGATGGAGACTTCAACCCACGAAGGGTAACAGTTGCGTGAGTCCACGGAGGGCTCCACCCAAGAAGGGTCCACGAAGAAGCAACCTTGTCTATCCCACCATGGTCGTCGCCCACGAAGGACTTGCCTCACTACTGGTAGATCTTCACGAAGTAGGCGATCTCCTTGCCCTTACAAACTCCTTGGTTGAACTCCACAATCTTGTCCGAGGCTCCCAAGTGACACCTAGCCAATTTAGGAGACACCACTCTCCAAGAAGTAACAAATGGTGTGTTGATGATGAACTCCTTGCTCTTGTGCTTCAAATGATAGTCTCCCCAACACTCAACTCTCTCTCACAGGATTTGGATTTGGTGGAAAGAAGATTTGAGTGGAAAGCAACTTGGGGAAGGCTAGAGATCAAGATTCATATGGTAGGAATGGGATATCTTGGTCTCAACACATGAGTAGGTGGTTCTCTCTCAGAAAATGTAAGTTGGGAGTGTAGGTTCGTTCTGATGGCTCTCTCCATGAATGAAGAGGAGGTGGAGGGGTATATATAGCCTCCACACAAAAACTAACCGTTACACACAACTTGACAATCTCGGTGGGACCGAATTGAGAAACTTGGTCAGACCAATTCAGCAAATCTAGTGACCGTTAGGATTTTCGGTGGGGACATGCAACTCGGTAGGACTGATATGATTAGGGTTAGGGCATAAGGTAATCTCGGTGAGACCGATTACACAAACTCGGTGGGACCAATTTTGGTAATAATCTAACCAGAGAGTTAGTCAGGTAAACTTGGTGGGACCGGTTCGCTCATTTTGGTGGGACTGAAATGTTATGAAAGGGAAACAGAGAGTTTACATTGAAATCTCGGTGGGACCGATCGCTCATCTCGGTGGTGCTGAAACGTTACGAAGGGAAACACAGAGATTACAATCCCATCTCGGTGAGACTGATTTGCCTAGGGTTTGTTGCAGTGGCTATGACATCTGAACTCGGTGGCGCCGGATAGATAGAATCGGTGGGGCTGAGTTTGACTTTAGGTTTAGATCATATGTGGATGTGGGAAAGTAGTTGAGGGTTTTGGAGCATATCACTAAGCACTATGAAGCAAGGACCTCATTAAGCAACACCTCATCCCTCCTTGATAGTATTGGCTTTTCCTATAGACTTAATGTGATCTTGGATCACTAAAATATAAAATGTTGAGTCTTGAGCTTTGAGCTTGAGCCAATCCTTTTATCCTTAGTATTTTGAGGAGTCCACTTTTCTCATCCATGCCATGCCAATCATTGAGCTTTTCCTGAAATATTTATCTTGGAATAATGTTAGCTCAATGAGCTATATGTTGTTAGGAATTACCAAAACCACCTAGGGATAGTTGCACTTTAATCACCCACAACTCTTTGTGTTCTACTCGTGCATATAACATCTGCGCATAGACCTGGCTCGGATGCCACTATTGGGGAACGCGGTAATTTCAAAAAAAATCCTACGGTCACACAAGATCTATCTAGGTGATGCATAGCAATGAGAGGGGAGAGTACGTCCACGTACCCTCATAGACCAAAAGCGGAAGCGTTAGTTAATGCGGTTGATGTAGTCGAACGTCTTCGCGATCCAACCGATCCAAGTATCGAACGTACGGCGCCTCCGCGTTGAGCACACGTTCAGCTCAATGACGTCCCTCGTACTCTTGAACCAGTTGAGGGCGAGGGAGAGTTTCGTCAGTACGACGACGTGGCGACGGTGATGATGAAGTTACCGGCGCAGGGCTTCATCTAAGCACTATGACGATATGACCGAGGTGTGTAACTATGGAGGAGGGCACCGCACACGCTAAAAGATCAACTTCTGTGTTCTAGGGTGCCCCCTACCCCCGTATGTAAATGAGCAAGAGGGAGGTCGAATGGCCCTCCTAGGGCGCGCCCCACAAGGGGAGTCCTACTAGGACTACTAGTCCTAGTAGGATTCCGCCAAGAGGGAGAGAGGGGGAAGGAAGGAGAGGGAGAGGGAGAGGGAGAAGGAAAGGGCCCCCCCTTCCCTAGTCCAATTCGAACCCAAGGGGGAGGGGGCGCGCGGCCTTCCCTGGCCTCCCCTCTCTCTCTCCACCAAGGCCCTTGTGTCCCATTAGTTCCCCAGGGGGGTTCTGGTAACCCTCCGGCACCCCGGTTTTATCTAAAACTTCTCCGGAACACTTCCGGTGTCCGAATATAGCCGTCTAGTATATCAATCTTTATGTCTCGACCATTTCGAGACTCCTCGTCATGTCCATGATCTCATCCGGAACTCCGAACAAACCTCGGTCATCAAAACACATAACTCATAATACAAATCGTCATCGAACGTTAAGCATGCGGACCCTACGGGTTCGAGAAATATGTAGACATGACCGTGATACATCTCCGGTCAATAACCAATAGCGGAACCTGGATGGTTATATTGGCTCCTACACATTCTACGAAGATCTTTATCGGTCAAACCGCATAACAACATACATTTTTCCCTTTGTCATCGGTATGTTACTTGCCCGAGATTCGATCGTCGGTATCATCATACCTAGTTCAATCTCGTTGCCGGCAAGTCTCTTTACTCGTTCTATAATACTTCGTCCCACAACTAACTCATTAGTCACATTGCTTGCAAGGCTTATAGTGATGAGCATTACCGAGAGGGCCCAGAGATACCTCTCCGAAACACGGAGTGACAAATCCTAATCTCGATCTATTCCAACCCAACAAACACCTTCGAATACACCTGTAGAGCACCTTTATAATCACCCTTTTACATTGTGACGTTTGGTAGCACATAAAGTGTTCCTCCGGTATTTAGGAGTTGCATAATCTCATAGTCTGAGGAACATGTATAAGTCATGAAGAAAGCTGTAGCAATGAAACTGTAACGATCATAATGCTAAGCTAACGGATGGGTCATGTCCATCACATCATTCTCCTAATGATGTGATCTCGTGCATCAAATGACAACACATGTCTATGGTTAGGAAACATAACCATCTTTGATTAACGAGCTAGTCTAGTAGAGGCATACTAGGGACAATATGTTTTGTTTATGTATTCACACATGTACTAAATTTTCGGTTAATACAATTCGGAGGTCTAGACCACGCCGTGGATATTTGATGCACGATGTTGCATGTAAAAAAGTGTTTGAACCGCGTTGTTCCGGCTTTTACGGCATTTTGATGCATGGCGTTGGAGTTTCCCTTAGAAAGCACTTTGGCTCTAGGTACTGGCACTTGCCAAATGCAGCATCCTTTGGAGCAGGTCAGGTGAAATTAAGGTGAGAAGACGTGGTGGGTACATTCACCTTCCATGGATCGACCTGCATTCGCATTTATCATTTACTCACACTGCCTCATCACTACCCAACTCCCTCTTGCGTGAGTGGGCCAATCTAGTCACTTGCTTTCTCTATCGCCCTCCTATATATTGTCTCCACACGGGCATACACTCTCACCAAAGCAGCTCGCTTGGCTACCAAGTGTACTCTCGATCTCCTCTCATTGGGAGGGAGCACTTAGTCTAGCTCCTAGTCCTAGCTAGCTTGGCGGAGCAACAATGGCCAGCCTCTCCATGCTCCCGGCCATGGCGCTGCTGCTCCTGGAAATGGCGGTGCCCTCATCCGACGCGCAGCCTTCTCCCGGCTACTACCCGAGCTCGAGGTTCCGGCCAATGGCGTTCAACCGCGGGTACCGCAACAAGTGGGGCCCGCAGCACCAGACGCTCTCCGGCGACCATTCAGCCGTCACCATCTGGCTCGACAAGACCTGCGGTATGTGCATTTTTTTTTCATTGCGCATCTTTGGAAAGACTACCAATTGGCGATGACCAGGTCATCTATATATGAGTATATTGACTTAGGAGTCAAAGGAGAACATTTGATCATAGTTCATACTCATCGTTTAAGCTCAAGTGGGGTTACCCCTTTTACATAATGCATTGATGTGTTCACATCATTAGAGTTTCTTTAACTCAATTATTAGAGTAAAGCTCCCCCTAGATGTGAGATCCCCCCTTAGAGGGATGAACTAACCTTGGGTTTTGTCGATGATGACTTCATGTAGGTGTTGAAGATGTGGATGCTCAATGTTGATGTAGATCATTTGGAGCAATCCTTTGGAGTGAGTTGCACTTTCAATACCTACACAGGTTAGTCCCACAAGGAACAAACAAGGATATCCATAGACATAGAGTGATGCACACACAAAATGATGTCTATGAAAGCATTAGGTTACCTTGTCCCTTGTCTTACCAACAAGAGGGTTTGTGACTCCATGAACTAGTGCAAGATGTGGAAGTTGATTGCACTTGTTCTTGCCAAAATGATATGTGTGAAGTATGTTGGCAGAGTCACCCTCAAGAACTCTCTAGTTCTTCTTCGGGATCCACACCATCTTGATGGGAATCCTTGGAGTTGTAGTCGTACTTGATGAAGTAGAACTTGACATAGTCTTGGTAACCCACTTGACCAAGGCCTTGGGAGCTTCTTCAAATGCATCAATCTCCTCTTGAAGCTCATCCTTGCCTTTTTGCTTGTGGTCTTGTGGTGGAAGATCATACTTCTCTTGTTGAGGAACAAACTTCGTCTTGGGGTATTGATCTTCTTCCCACTCAACTCCATTGGCATTGAACTTTCGTTCAAAACCAACACCTTGGTTCTTCCGGTGCCTTCCTTGCTTGCGTACAATTTCCTAGAATTGCTTACTTCCGGCAATGCTCTTGTAAACACCTTTCTCTATAATTCCCTTCAACAAGCTATTTTCTTGCTCAAGTGTAACTTGGCTAAGAGAATCATTAGTGGAATCAAGAGAACTACTAGAAGCAACAACATTGGATTTAACATGATTATTGTTACTACTAGAGGAAGAATCCTTCTTGTTCTTGTTACTAGACTTGACTTGAGGCATGTAAGTATATAAGAGTAAACGCTTGGCAATGTAAGAAGAACTTTTCTTGCGAAGATCATCATTGATTGCCTTTAAGAACTCATGCTCTTGCTCAAGGTTGAGATTTTCAAAGCGTAACTTCTCATGAGTCCTTAAAAGTTCTCGATGATCCCCTAAGATAGTTTCATGAGCTAACTTAAGAGTGTTTAGTTCTTTAGTTAGGAGCTCAATCTTCTCCTTATCATCGTCATTCGTTTTATCTTGATTAGCATGATTAATTCACGTTTCATCATAGTATTCATCACTAGAGTTGTCAACAAGTAAATCATCATCACCTAGCAAGTCATCTTCATCACTATTGAAATCAACATATTCGGGGTATGTTGCCTTTGGGCCTTTAGCCATGAAGCATCTTCCAAGTCCTTCATTTGGTGAATCAAATATGTCGTAGGAGTTGGTTGACACAAGTGCTAGACCAGCAACACCTTCATCTTGAGTATGTTCGGAGTCGGAGTGATAGCTTCTCTCGGAGTGATGGTCGGAGTCAGAGTCGGATACCCATTCACCAACATGAGCTTGATGTCTTTGTTTTGTGTAGCTCCTTGATGACTTGTCCTTCCTTTCCGAATCCTTGCTTCTCCGAGATGTTCTTCGTTCATAACGATCATCTCTACTCCTTCTCTCTCTTGGTGGTGATTCTTCTCTTCTACTTCTCCTTTTAGGTGATTCTTCTCTTCTTTTGTAGGGAGCCGTACACTCATTGGAATAGTGTCCAGGTCTTCCACAGTTATAGCAATTTCGCTCTCGACTAGAAGATCTTTTATCATTGTAGGACCTTGACTTAGAACTTCTTTCCTTGCTTCTACTCTTGTAGAACTTGTTGAAGTTCTTCACCATTATGCTCAATTCTTCACTGAAGGTTTATTTCTCACTTGATGATGTGGGAGCTTCACATGAGGCTTTGTAAGCACCACTTGACTTGTTGTGCAGCTCCTTCTTATCTTTGAGTGACATCTCATGAGCAACAATTCTTCCAATGACCTCCGTTGGCTTGAGATTCTATAATTGGGCATCATTTGGATCAATGTGCACACAGTATCATATTTTCCATCCAATGCTCTTAGGATCTTCTTGATGATGAATTTGTCGGTCATCTCTTCACTTCCTAACCCGGAATCTCATTTGTAATGACAGAAAGCCTAGAGTACATTTCAGCGACGCCTTCACCATCCTTCATCTTGAACTTGTCAAGTTGACTTTGAAGCACATCCAACTTGGATTCCTTGACGGAGTCGGTACCTTCGTGCATATCAATCAAAGTATCCCAAATTTCCTTTGCATTCTCAAGACGGCTGATTTTGTTGAATTTTTTGGGGTACAATCCGTTGAAGAGGATATCACAAGCTTGAGCGTTGTATTGCAGCATCTTCAATTCATCCGCACTAGCTTCACGGTTCGGTTCTCTCCCATCAAAGAATTCACCTTGCAAGCCAATACACACAATAGCCCAAACGGCGGGGTTATGTCCAAGGATATGCATTTTCATCTTATGTTTCCAACTAGCAAAATTAGTACCATCAAAGTAAGGACCTCTACGGTGGTAGTTTCCCTCGCTAGACGCCATATTCTCCTAGGTTGTGAAAACAAGGCTATGACCACCAAAAGTTGTGGAAATCAAAGCAAATGGAGACCAAAGCTCTGATACCACTTGTAGGATCGGAAGTATGTCTAGAGGGGGGGGATTAGACTACTTGACCAAATAAAAACTTAACCTTTTCCTAATTTTAGTCTTTGGCAGATTTTAGCAAACTTAGCACAAGTCAAGCAATCTTAACACAATTCAAGCAAGCATGCAAAATAGTATATGAGCATCGGAAAGTAAAGCATGCAACTAGCAATAATGTAAAGGGAAGGGTTTGGAGAATTCAAACGCAATTTGGAGACACGGTGATTTTTGAGCCGTGGTTCCGATAGGTGGTGCTATCATACATCCACGTTGATGGAGACTTCAACCCACGAAGGATAACGATTGCGCGAGTCCACGGAGGGCTCCACCCAAGAAGGGTCCACGAAGAAGCAACCTTGTCTATCCCACCATGTCCGTCGCCCACGAAGGACTTGCCTCACTAGCGGTAGATCTTCACGAAGTAGGCGATCTCCTTGCCCTTACAAACTCCTTGGTTCAACTCCACAATCTTGTCGGAGGCTCCCAAGTGACACCTAGCCAATCTAGGAGACACCACTCTCCAAGAAGTAATAAATGGTGTGTTGATGATGAACTCCTTGCTCTTGTGCTTCAAATGATAGTCTCCCCAACACTCAACTCTCTCTCTCAGAGGATTTGGATTTGGTGGAAAGAAGATTTGCGTGGAAAGGAACTTGGGGAAGGCTAGAGATCAAGATTCATATGGTAGGAATGGGATATCTTGGTCTCAACACATGAGTAGGTGGTTCTCTCTCAGAAAATGTAAGTTGGAAGTGTAGGTTCGTTCTGATGGCTCTCTCCACGAATGAAGAGGAGGTGGAGGGGTATATACAGCCTCCACACAAAAACTAACCGTTACACACAACTTGCCAATCTCGATGGGACCGAATTGAGAAACTCGGTCGAAACAATTCAGCAAATCTAGTGACCGTTAGGATTTTCGGTGGGACCGACATGCAACTCGGTAGGACCGATATGATTAGGGTTAGGGCATAACATAATCTCGGTGAGACCGATTACACAAACTCAGTGGGACCGATTTTGGTAATAATCTAACCAGAGAGTTGGTCAGGTAAACTCGGTGGGACCGGTTCGCTCATTTCGGTGGGACCGAAATGTTACGAAAGGGAAACAGAGAGTTTACATTGCAATCTCAGTGGGACCGATCGCTCATCTCGGTGGTGCCGAAACGTTATGAAGGGAAACAGAGAGATTACAATCCCATCTCGGTGAGACCGAGATCCCTATCAGTGAGACCGATTTGCCTAGGGTGTGTGGCAGTGGCTATGACATCTGAACTCGACGGCGCCGGATAGATAGAATCGGTGGGGCCGAGTTTGACTTTAGGTTTAGATCATATGTGGATGTGGGAAAGTAGTTGAGGGTTTTGGAGCATATCACTAAGCACTATGAAGCAAGGACCTCATTAAGCAACACCTCATCCCTCCTTGATAGTATTGGCTTTTCTATAGACTCAATGTGATCTTGGATCACTAAAATATAAAATGTAGAGTCTTGAGCTTTGAGCTTGAGCAAATCCTTTTATCCTTAGTATTTTGAGGGGTCCACTTTTCTCATCCATGCCATGCCAATCATTGAGCTTTTCCTGAAATATTTATCTTGGAATAATGTTAGCTCAATGAGCTATATGTTGTTAGGAATTACCAAAACCACCTAGGGATAGTTGCACTTTAATCGCCCACAAGTCTTTGTGTTCTACTCGTGCATATAACATCTACGCATAGACCTGGCTCGGATGCCACTATTGGGGAACGCAGTAATTTAAAAAAAAAATCCTACGGTCACACAAGATCTATCTAGGTGATGCATAGCAATGAGAGGGGAGAGTATGACCATGTACCCTCATAGACCGAAAGCGGAAGCGTTAGTTAACGCGGTTGATGTAGTCGAACGTCTTTGTGATCCAACCGATCCAAGTATCGAACGTACGGCGCCTCCGCGTTGAGCACACGTTCAGCTCAATGACGTCCCTCGTACTCTTGATCCAGTTGAGGTTGAGGGAGAGTTTCGTCAGTACGACGGCGTGGCGACGGTGATGATGAAGTTACCGGCGCAGGGCTTCGTCTAAGCACTACGACGATATGACCGAGGTGTATAACTATGGAGGAGGGCACCGCACACGCTAAAAGATCAACTTCTGTGTTCTAGGGTGCCCCCCTACCCCTGTATGTAAATGAGCAAGAGGGAGGTCGGACGGCCCTCCTAGGGCGCGCCCCACAAGGGGAGTCCTACTAGGACTACTAGTCCTAGTAGGATTCCGCCAAGAGGGAGAGAGGGGGAAGGAAGGAGAGGGAGAGGGAGAAGGAAAGGGCCCCCCCTTCCCTAATCCAATTCGAACCCAAGGGGGAGGGGACACACGGCCTTCCCTGGCCGCCCCTCTCTCTCTCCACCAAGGCCCATGTGTCCCATTAGTTCCCCAGGGGGGTTCTGGTAACCCTCCGGCACCCCGGTTTTATCCGAAACTTCTCCGGAACACTTCCGGTGTTCGAACATAGCGGTCTAGTATATCAATCTTTATGTCTCGACCATTTCGAGACTCCTCGTCATGTCCATGATCTCATCCGGAACTCCGAACAAACCTCGGTCATCAAAACACATAACTCATAATACAAATCGTCATCGAACGTTAAGCGTGCGGACCCTACAGGTTCGAGAAATATGTAGACATGACCGTGACACATCTCCGGTCAATAACCAATAGCGGAACCTGGATGCTCATATTGGCTCCTACACATTCTACGAAGATCTTTATCGGTCAAACCGCATAACAACATATGTTTTTCCCTTTGTCATCGGTATGTTACTTGCCCGAGATTCGATCGTCGGTATCATCATACCTAGTTCAATCTCGTTGCCGGCAAGTCTCTTTACTCGTTCCGTAATACTTCATCCCGCAACTAACTCATTAGTCACATTGCTTGCAAGGCTTATAGTGATGAGCATTACCGAGAGGGCCCAAAGATACCTCTCCGAAACACGGAGTGACAAATCCTAATCTCGATCTATGCCAACCCAACAAACACCTTCGAATACACCTGTAGAGCACCTTTAAAATCACCCTTTTACATTGTGACGTTTGGTAGCACATAAAGTGTTCCTCCGGTATTCGGGAGTTGCATAATCTCATAGTCTGAGGAACATGTATAAGTCATGAAGAAAGCAGTAGCAATGAAACTGTAACGATCATAATGCTAAGCTAACGGATGGGTCATGTCCATCACATCATTTTCCTAATGATGTGATCTCGTGCATCAAATGACAACACATGTCTATGGTTGGGAAACATAACCATCTTTGATTAACGAGCTAGTCTAGTAGAGGCATACTAGGGACAATATGTTTTGTTTATGTATTCATACATGTACTAAGTTTTCGGTTAATACAATTCGGAGGTCTAGACCACGCCGTGGAAATTTGATGCACGGTGTTGCATGTCAAAAAGTGTTTGAACCGCGTTGTTCCGGCTTTTACGGCGTTTTGATGCATGGCGTTGGAGTTGCCCTTAGAAAGCACTTTGGCTCTAGGTACTGGCACTTGCCAAATGCAGCATCCTTTGGAGCAGGTCAGGTGAAATTAAGGTGAGAAGACGTGGTGGGTACATTCACCTTCCATGGATCGACCTGCATTCGCATTTATCATTTACTCACACTGCCTCATCACTACCCAACTCCCTCTTGCGTGAGTGGGCCAATCTGGTCACTTGCTTTCTCTGTCGCCCTCCTATATATTGTCTCCACACGGACATACACTCTCACCAAAGCAGCTCGCTTGGCTACCAAGTGTACTCTCGATCTCCTCTCATTGGGAGGGAGCATTTAGTCTAGCTCCTAGTCCTAGCTAGCTTGGCGGAGCAACAATGGCCAGCCTCTCCATGCTCCCGGCCATGGCGCTGCTGCTCCTGGCAATGGCGGTGCCCTCATCCGACGCGCAGCCTTCTCCCGGCTACTACCCGAGCTCGAGGTTCCGGCCAATGGCGTTCAACCGCGGGTACCGCAACAAGTGGGGCCCGCAGCACCAGACGCTCTCCGGCGACCATTCAGCCGTCACCATCTGGCTCGACAAGACCTGCGGTATGTGCATTTTTTTTTCTTTGCGCATCTCTGGAAAGACTACCAATTGTTTTTTAATTCTAGTTTAGGTGCATGCATATGCATGTACTCCTATATACTTGGCTCTTGTTTTTTGTCAACAGTGTCACCGACGCACGTACTACGTGAATTCACTGTTCAGGCTTGTGTTGTAGCGAACGAGACATCACTAGCGCCATGTTGAATCGTCGGTGTCACTTATATCGAATCTGAAACACAGACACAGTGCGTTTTTCTTTTTGGTACTGGGGGAGCCCCCGGCCTGTGCATCGCGCAGCGATAGACACAGTGCGGTTCGGGCCCACGTACGTGGCAGCAGTGATAGATTACTGTTGTTAACTCTCATGCTAATCTATATGAATTTTGATTTTGCTAACCACATGTCCCATGCGGTAACTCTCATGCTAATCTGTGGAGGGATTAATTTGCTGCTTGATTATGTTGGTGCACATTCCCTCACCTCACATCTGATCTATGCAGGGAGCGGGTTCAAGTCGAAGCATGCGTACAGGAACGGCTACTTCGCCACCCGCATCAAGCTCCCCGCCGGCTACACCGCCGGCACCAACACCGCCTTCTATGTAAGCACTACTACAAATATTCTCTAAATAACGCAGCGTTAATTAGTACTAGTAGTAACAGGTTAATTGATACGCGCGCGCAGCTGTCCAACAACGAGGCGCACCCTGGGTTCCACGACGAGATCGACATGGAGTTCCTGGGCACCATCCCCGGCGAGCCCTACACGCTGCAGACCAACGTGTACGTCCGCGGCAGCGGCGACGGGCGGATCATCGGGCGGGAGATGCGGTTCCACCTCTGGTTCGACCCCACCGCCGGCTTCCACAACTACGCCATCCTCTGGAACCCGGACGCCATCACCTTCTTCGTGGACGACGTGCCCATCCGGCGGTACGAGCGCAAGACGGAGCTCACCTTCCCCGACCGCCCGATGTGGGCGTACGGCTCCATCTGGGACGCCTCCGACTGGGCCACCGACCACGGCAGGTACAGGGCCGACTACCGCTACCAGCCGTTCGTGGCGCGCTTCGACCGCTTCGTGGTCGCCGGGTGCGGGCCCAGCGCCCCGCCCTCTTGCCGCCCGTCCCGGGCGTCCCCCGTCGGCACGGGGCTCACGCGGCAGCAGTACGCGGCGATGCGGTGGGCGCAGCAGCGCCACATGGTGTACTACTACTGCCAGGACTTCCGGAGGGACCGCTCGCTCACGCCGGAGTGCTGATGAGCCCGTGAACCAACGGTGGCGCGCGTGTCCTGATTAATTTCGTCGTGTGTTTGCTTGCTTACAGTGCTCCTACTACGAGCTCCTACCTACACTTTGCTTCTTCTTTTTGGTTTGGATCTCAAAGAGTAAAGGGTGTGGCTGCCCTACCGCTGCTGCCTGCCTGCCTGTGGCTGAGCATGAGCTAGGCCGGTGGTTGAGGCGTTGGTCGTTGGCATATTGCCCAAAAGGGTCTCGTGTCTTTCCATCTCTTTCGTTTTGGTTGGTGCCTACTTTTCGTTTCACATGTATGTATGCCCCGAAGGGGCAAAGGCGCATGATTGATGACATACTATCATGCATGCCCACTGTAATACAGACTACTCTAATATGTTCTCCATATTTGCGATTTATTTGTACAATTGCGTCAAAGACATGGTTTAATCGAGTCCAAAGCCGGTGGGTGTAAGCGTGGGCCGGTGTTAGAATAATCCGAGGCATATGACTATGGACGATCCTCGTCATGTACTAAATCAACGCAGTCGACGGCAAGCCCGTCGAGGCCATCAGACAGGCCTTTGACCACTTGCCACGATTGGTCCGGCCACCCCTACCACATGCGAGGGAAGGAAGGCTGCGAGCGGGGCGGGGGAACAGGGAGATCGGCGCTGGTTGCCGCGGTGGGGGGAGGGAGGGAGGTGGTGCGGTGATGGGGAAGGAGAGAAGCTGCGATGGGTGGGCATGAGGAGGAGTGGGCGTTGACTGCCTTTTATTTGCGGTGGATCGGGGGTGCGCTGTGGGGTTTGTTAGCAGAATGGGTGTTATTATAATAGATCCAATATATATATATATATATATATATATATATATATATATATATATATATATATAGGGAAAAGCAAACATATGAAACTACGCTGGAGCAGATGCAATCACGAGGGCTTGTTCATATTGGGATCTGGTCCCTCCACTTTCCCTATTTGCATTTTTGTGTTATTAATCACTGGATGATTATTTCCTGTTATAGCGGATGATGGACCACGCTGCTTGCGGGAGCACTGTAGTGCGCAGACACTAGGCTGGCGTGATGCAATCCGGCAGGTAGGGGCCCGCCCGTGTTATGTTCAAACGATTCTAGGATTTGTGGAGAACCGCTCGGCCAAAGGTGCAAACCTTCCACCCATGTTTCCTTTTTTTATTATGCGTTCTGTTCTTGTAGGCGCCTTCTCGTTTTGGTAGCTATTTATTTATGTTTTTGAAGTAGTAGGCATATTTTTCTATGGTCGCATTTGTCTACGGCCTTTTTCGGACACCGCAGATAAAAGAAAGATGTGAAGAAAATTTCCGGGCCGTTACTTCAAACAGAAGATGTGAAGAAAATTGGAAAAAAAGGTGCACACGCCGATATATATATTTCCTACTACCGGGTGTAGTTACACCCATTTTTATTTTATACGTTTTAGGTAGTATCTACCATACCGCAGTGTATGTATGCGTAATATATAAGAATATTTAGGTAGTATATATACTATTTTTTAGGTAGTATGTAGTATATTTTTAGCATACTTCTTTTTACGTATAAATATGTACGTATTTTCACAAATATGATAAAACCTTGGGCTCACATGCAATTTTTTCACATAACTCGCTTTGGAGTATCTTAGATATAATATATGAACATACTAAAAATGATAAAGTAGTATATATACTACCACCCGGTAGTAGGATGCATTTTCCCTATATATATATATATATATATATATATATATATATATATATATATATATATATAGGGAAAATACATCCTACCATTAGGTGGTAGTTACCTTCATCTCTTTTGCCGTCTGATTGCTTGAGATGTGTGCGGCTCCTAACGGGTTGCGGGTAAAATAAAGAAGGATATATTTTCCACTCGGATCTCCACCTTTCTATTTTCTTGGGCTAGCCCCGTATATCGCTTGACATAAAACCATGCAACGCTAATCCCTTTCTCTCTCTCAGAGCGCTCTTTCCCTCTCTCCATGTTTTTCGGTCAAAATCTTCACGTAAAGCTGGATCTGGAAAAATCATTAGAGACAGAAGGTATGCGACATGCATCTACACAAACATCATGTAAATCGATTGTTAATTGTTCCTAATTTCCATTCTTATACAGGGGTCGCGGGCAACGTTGATGGCTGATGGGATTAGGAACATGGATGTATGTTCCAACGTATTCATCCAGAGGACCCAATCTTTAATATTCCTCCTAGTCGATTTATAGTATAATCAGATTTTTTATGATCATGGATTAGGACCATGTTCCAAGGCGTTCATCTAGCCGATACATCAACCATGCATCTAGAAAAACACATCCGTCGTGTAAGATTGCAATGCGCAACGACCACCAATATAAGATTGTTATAGTGCGGCGACGGTGACAACGATTTACGGCTGCACACGCCGACGAGCGACTACTCTATGAGGTAGCAGAGACGACTACATACTACTGCACATCTCGGATGGCTCACCGGCGAGGCAAGCGGCGGCTGCACCGCAATACTGTTTATGGTCGACATGTGACTGCTCCAGCACGGCGGCGGCGACGACGGCGATATACGTATACTCACAGTATATACTCCATCGTGAGAGATGGCGATGTATGAGAAGGAAGAACATGCGTACATGCATTGATGGAAACAACATGTGTATATGGTGTTTCAAACCAACCGCTCAGGAGTCCATGAAGCCATGAATGTATTTGTATTTAGCGTATCCATCAACGTGACATACTGATATTTATATATACTCCATATTTCCTTTTCTAAAAAATATACTCCATATTTTGTACTATGAGATATACGACATACTATCCTCTTTTTATGATACTTCATACTGTTATTTTATTTTTGCGGGGTACTCCATACTATATTTTTTTCTACGAAGTACATACCACGTACTTCATACTCCATATTATTTTTTTTAGGGTTACTCCATACTATATTCTTGACTCTTCGGCATACTCCATACTTTTTTGCACACTCATTTACTATGAAGTACATGCATCCTGATACTTCATACTCCATACTCCATACTCCAGAACTTCATACTCCATCTAAATAGCAAGTATATATTCTAGGATTAAATTTTTGAGTATACATTATGGACAATCAGAACACTGGGAAAATATTATGTCTATACTTTTAAGTTTTGGAGCACATATAAAACTATGATCTCTTTGGATTTAAGGAGCACGCATATAATAAGCATTTTTTACATCAATGTGTACGTACATTGTAAGGGCAGTACGTGTCCAGCTAGGTTGTTTTAAAATCAATGTCTCTTAGTGGATAGCTACTCGCACTTATCCATTCGGTGAGGTCTGCTGCATGCAGCCCTGAAATTAGTAGGTTGTTGCTAATAGTTGGCTGGTAAAACATTTTAACTAAATGATTAAATTAGGCTTGAACACTAACAGGTTTTTTGGCACCCACCAATCCAATTGGTGCTACGGCTTGAGGGACACGTGGAGGCCAAACAATTAGGTGCTAACTATCACTGCTTGTAGATAAAATTTGTCATATATATATATATATATATATATATATAGGACAATTTTTTCGTACTACCGGGTGTAGTTACTCTCACTTTTGATTCATACGTTCTAGGTAGTATTTATCATATGGGAGAGTATGTATGCATAGTATATAGTATGTAAGAATATTTAGGTAGTATATATACTATTTTTGAGGTAGTATATTGTATATTTTAAGCATACTCCTTTGTACGTACAAATACGTATGTATTTCACAAATATTATAAAAACATGGGCTCACATGCAATTTTTTCACATAACTTGCTTTAGAGTATCTTAGATATAGTATGTGAACATACTAAAATAGTAAAGTAGAGTATATACTACCACATGGTAGTATATGAGAAATGGATGTAACTACACCCGGTAGTAGGATGCATTTTCCATATATATGTATATATATATATATATATATATATATATATATATATATATATATATATATATATATATATATATATATATATATAACGGCCATATGGGACACCTAGGTGCATGGGCACCTTGCCTACAAAACGTCGGATTACACTAAGATGTGTGCATTTGTATTAGTACTAGAACTAATGCTTTAAACGTTGACTCTGTCATTAGGAAAGAATTATTGCTTGATATGACACTTAATGCCCTCATTAAATAAGAAAGAGAAAATTAGCAATTAATGATCCATGCATGGTACGTGCACTTTATTGATGCATTATACTTTTTCTAATATATTATTTGTAGGTATATCTTCAAGGCATATATATGTATTAAAAAATTAGTTTGTGCATAAAATATCTTAGGTATTTGTATATATCTAGTCATGTACTAATTCATATACCTAGTCATGTACTAATTCATATACCTATAAAAATTGTTTACCTAGTCACGTACTAACTTTTTCATATACCTAGTCAAGATCTTACGTATATGTAAATTATGTTATTTTTGGGTATATCCCCAATATCATTTACGGGTATATATCAAAAAAAATACGTGTGTTAAAAAATAGTGTATCATTTTTTGGGTTATGTACCATTCGAAGTATATCAGTTTCGTGTATATCTCCAAACCATGCATGTATTGAAAAAAAAATTGTGGGTATGATATCTTACGTCCATGTACGTACGCAAAAACCGCTTGTGGATATTGGTATGCAATCGGACATTACTTAGACTAAAAAGAATTATGCGTGGGTATATGTACGTAGGAAAAAAAATCATGTGTGGGTATCAGCATGCATCGTATATTCCTAAAAGTAAAAAAATTAAGATCACATTTATATTATTTATTCACCTTATTTTGTATAGAAATATTAGTTGGTAAAAGTGTGACCCGGCCTTAACTTTTTTTAATACTGGATACCTTGAAAAGTAAAACTTCAAAAAAATGCATAATATACGTTGTAATTATACATACAAACATTTGCGATGATATTTCGTATAGTTTGGTCATATCGAATACCTTA